TTCATCTTCCTTTCATACAAGAAGAAACTACATACTCAAGAGGGATTTTACTTGCAGAGTGTGAGTAGGATTGAAAGAATGAAATACGTTGTCAGCTTGCTGCTAGAATATTAATTGTTTTTTATAATCAAGAGATTGACACATCACGATAACACTGAAGAGCTGAGATTTTGTGGTTTCAGGAAGAGCTTATAAAGTGAGAGATTGTTCTTAGTTCTTAGTTCTTTTAGTCATTTATGTCGGGCTATCGTAGCATATCCGTACCTGGATAGCAGGGAGCTGGTCAGACTCATTCCAGACCTCTTCCATTCAAGTAATAGACGCGAACTCTTCGGGAAGGTTTGATGTTTTTGGGCTTTTTGAATTCCGCCTACTGAAACTCCAAGGTCTCACGAAAGTCTACAGAGTGCAGACTATACTGCGAGATGGTGTATGCATACAAGGGTGACTTTGATTCTACGCCACCTGATGATGATCTGTTCGTATACAATTCTAACATTCGGTGCCAAACACAACAAAAATACGTCACAATCATATTTTATCTTTGTGTGTTCAACAATAACATATGTTTATTACTCTTATTATTGATGTGAGGAGTTGCAGCGTCCGACTTTTCTTACAAGCGAGTTCACAATAGTGAAATTTTGATGTCTAGGAAAATCAAAGTGTCCACACATGTGTGGTACTAATCACAAACTAATGATGAAGTGTTGAACCTTACTAGAGAATGTTTTCATCAAAATCATATATAGTTATGAAAATGTTGGGGTTCATCGCCAGAGTATCAGGAGCCAACTTATGAATTAGCTCTACAACACTGAAATATTGTTATTGTTTTAGTCTTATAATCATTTTTCTGAAATTATAGTTGTTCTAATTTTAGAAGAACCCAATGATTACAATAAGTATTTTGAGAATTTTTTTATTTTTAAGGTTTTTTTATTATATTGAAAATTACTTGAGATATGAAAGTTTTTTATGCTTTTTTTTATACGATTTTTATTCAAATTTTTTATGCTAAGTTTTAATTGTCAATTGATGGTTTCAAAGTATAATTTTTTGAACATTTACATCATTTGTATTGTTTACATCCCATACAACTTTGAAAATCTAGATACTCTCTTACTCACACTGCAAATAAGTATTCATCAATCTAGTTTCTGATTTAATACTGTAGATGTGAACTTAAACATTCCAACGAACAATGACTTCCAATAAATAGCTGTAGGATTTATATATAAAAATATACTTTATAAAACGAAAAATAAAATGATCATAAATATGTAGATTAAATTTCTACTACATTTATGTCTAAATTATTTTGAAATTGCTAATCATCGTTTGATAAGAATTTTTTTTATATCAAACATCAATAAAGTGTTTCCTGATTGATCTTAGACATCAGCTAATCATATGGTCATACCATGAACGTGTATAACGTAATGTCATGACTGTATATACCGCTCTGTGTTCAGACCAATGGGTTTAAACAGATTCCGATTTTTTAAACACCTGGACCTTTTAAAATTATCAGAGAGAGTCATAACTGGAGCTCTTTGCATATTCAGAACGAAACATTTATTTCCTCTGAAACATATAAAGAGATTCTTTAAAAATATAATCTTAATTGTTCATGTTTCAGTCCGTTGAACGTAAGGTTCACGCAATTGCATGCGGTATAAGGAATCAGAGAGAGCATCGGTCTTCTGCAGTATATCTGCAGTATATCGTCTTTCCAGTTAGTCAGATCACGTCTCTAACTATGCTGAAAATTGTTCTGAAAACTAATTAGACTTCAGCAGCTCGGGGATTGGTTCTGCTCAATTACCATAGCGATTGAAGACATGAGCCAGAATGTCTTAATCAAGACGATAGACTCCCTGAATTCTCTTCATTTCTCAAACTCCATTTGAGGACACCATCAGCTCTCAACCCGAGTATCACGATCCATGACGGTCGAAACTTACAAAAAGCACGATGGAGTCACCGAACAAACAAAACTTTGCCCTCAGTCAATTTCTACCCAGCTCCGGTCTGTGACTAGTGAGAGCTTAATCGTCTTCTACCCATCGCAAGTCGAGCATTTGTAGGGGTAAGGGCATCAGTTTACGCTGCGGCTGTCATAGAAGGCAAGACTGTGTCACATCAATCTGTACAGTCGAAATTAAGGAGACGCTGAATCGCCTCTTGCATGTCTAGAAACCGCAGTTTACGTGAGGGATAGAAGTTGTGTCTTCTAAAGGAGATCGGAAGTGGGGCCATGATAATTCAGCCATGCAGCTTTGTCATTAGCCGCGGTACACCTTTCCTGTCGAATCCCATGATCTTGCTCTCTAGCCTCTGACAGTGGAAAACTCTAGCTATTCTAGTTTCTAGAGGCGGGATTCGAGAATTCCGCATGACGGTATTTTCCATGAACCGCCAATCGCTTAATATATAGATGCTTCCGTATTGCAAGCATTGTACTGGGACCTGTGAGCATTACTTTCTCACCTCATGAGGTCTTGGTGCCAGGGCCTTCCACATCTACTTCCCTAAGCTGTGTATTAAGCACAAATTCCCAAGGGAGGTGCCAACTAAATGAACAAAAAGGATGGACAAAAATAATCACAGCAGTAGATACAAGGAATTTCGCCTTTATGGCCTGTGGCCACAAATCCTGGAGAATGATCCAGGTCAAAGATCATTGAGGTCTAAAATAAGTCAATTTTATTGTTGATGGCTTCCTCTTTTGACTTATCACCTCAAGTTAGATCATTGTGGGCCCACGTCGTTGTAAGCTTTCCAGAAGCGGACCCCAATCGGATAACTTTATCCGGAAAAGGAAACAGTTGTTTACGGAAAGGAAACAGTTATCGTCGTGCCTCAATAATTTCAGGCCAATGGCATACTCTGACGCAAACTCAATCCTCCGTAGTCCATACAAAACCAATCACGTGTCGCTCAGACCTTATAGATTTAAACAAGTATCCTTGTTTTGTTTGCAACCCATTGGCTCGTGAGAATAAAAAAACTGTGGGTGACATGCATTAAAATATAGAATAACCAGTGGAAGGGATGAAAAAAAAATCAAGGAGAATTAGATCCCCAACCAACCCAACAGATCCAAGTTACCTTTTTCTGCATCCAGTACCGTGCATATTAATGAAGTACCGGACATGAGCTCTGCGGAATAGTGCAAGGAGGAGGTCTGTCGAAAAAAGGCCAAGCGGCAGCCACATTGTACGGAGACCGTATGCTTACCTTTTGCAATCCAATGAATGACATGAAATCAAGAAATGAATGAGAGGACCGCAAGTGCCCATTAAAGTACATCCAACCTTTTTCGGACTTGGTCGCAATAAAGGGTTCTTGCTTTTATCTGGATAAATTGGCACAGCTAGATACTTGGGTCATGCATGAGTTTAAGAAAATCTGGCAATCTCAACCATGAGAAAGTAGTGAGGAATAAATGGGGTTTTTTCACATCTCTTCAACCAAAAATTGACAGGTCATATATTATGTAAACTGGTTTTCTGGACGTAAAGATGTAATGTAGAAGGCACAAGGTGTAATTCAGGAGTTCAAGGTTCATCCAAAATTGAAGGTTTAGGATATGTTAAGTAAGTTGAAGTTTCATATTGGGTTTGTTGGCACTAATATGATTATTTCTAGAAAAAATATTGCATAACTAGAAGATAATTCATAACTACGTGTGATCATTTAAGATAGTATTAGAATAGTCTGAAAAATAAAATCTTACAAATCTATAGATTTGATGCTTGTATGTGATGAACACATGCATTGGGACATGACATGTTACCATTTTGGTCGGAAAGTTTTTGTTGGAAAGTTGCTATAGTTACATGTCTTGGGTAAATACACTAGTGCCTCAATTGAGTTCTACTGAGGTTGTGAATGAGACATTGTCTCATTCACAAAATGACACTAACGTTTTAGAAGGTATATCACACTTATCTCTTGAGGTTCATTGAGTATATTTATTTGGTGTTGGGTATGCCATAACTCAACTAAGTGATATGTTGGAGGGTCTTTCCGTTATGGAGTATATTGGGAGTACTAACTAAGATCTCATGTGATATTACATTTATTATATCTTGAGGTTCATAAGTTATTGTAGAGTTAAACTAATAATCAGATTTGCAGCGGTTTCTGAATCTTGTGTCACTTAGTCCAGTTAAGTCATGGTTGAGGCTATTTCGACTTGCGAAGGGTCAACTCTTGGATGACCATCATACGTTGATGTGGGATTACTGAGATATTTTTGCTCTTCAAATCAATCGTTTCTCAATAATTTGACACAAATGTATAGTTTGTGTCTTCTTATTATTTATTCATATTACCATGACATAATCGTCTTCTCTACATGCTACAGATGTAAAAATTTGAGATACGAACAAATCAAATCTTGTACTAGATTTTGGATTTCATTGGTTGGTTGCAACATACTACAAAACTTGAATAGTTACCGGGGAAGAAGGGGAATATTTTTGAGAGACTTATTTTAGGGGCGATAAAGTTACATGATATTATATGTTAAGATTGATATTGGGCAAGAATTGTGAGAAGTGAACTTATATTACAAGAGACGTCAACTCTTTTGATTTAACATCCAAAACGTATTAAGCTGAACATTCTAATGTAGAGGTAGATGGTAGTAGGATGAACAACGAAACTCAATTTTAACCACAATTATAAAAAACTTGTGTGCACCACGAACTGGCTAGAGCAAGTACAAATTATGATTACAAAATAAAGCTGGGAAAGTTTAAGGCTTGAGTCATGCCCCTTTGATCCAAAATAACGGATCGAGGGGAATGGGCTCAGGTGGAAGGTAAAACATGACGAACACCTTGGACCTACAGAATCTTAGTGTATGGGCTGCGGCCTCTCTACACGTGTCCCAACACAATTTTTACATCGAAAGTCAAAAAATCTCGCACTGTACTTGATTGTACTGGACGGAGCACGTTTGTTCGAATTCGTGTACATCATGGAATACGGCTGACATCTGACAGTGCGGGATCCCGAGCAATATATCTAAACAACTCAAAACTCTACGGATCAAATCAAAGCATCTCCGATCAAATGTCTTTCGAAATTATGTGGCCGGAACGCTCCTTTCCCAAATCGGAGGGCGATCTTAATCCTCATATCAACCCAATGCTCGAATCTTACTCAATAATTGACTGCTGCAGTAGCCCAAGCCGAAGACCGTCTGCTTCTCTTGATCCCATTCGGAAGATATCTGATTGGGAAGACCGTGGCCGGGCTCTCTCCCGTACTCCGTAGACTGTCACATGTTTCGGAGTCCGAGACTGAAATAGAAGTGGCTCTTGTCTGCGCATGTCTATCTGGATATAGCTGGAGAGGAAGACGGTTCTCGATCGGAGTCCGTGGACAAATTTGTCACATCAGTCAGCGACTGTGACGGGGGAAGACTAAAATAGAAGAGTTCTAGCCTGAATTGGTGTAAGTGGCTCCTTTACGGAGCTCAGATCGACAGCGTGGGCTCGCAGGCGCGCGATCAATGTCGGAAGATTCGACTGTGCCGAATGAATGTGTAACAAACTCATGGAGCTGTTTCCTTCCGCGTGTCTTGGGAGGATGACCCGTGTCCCTTGGGTATCGAGGGCAGTGCGACCCCGGAGTTTCGTCTTTTGACCCCATTTAAGAATTGTATATCATGTTCACGTCCCGCTGCTTCCGCACAGTTCGAGTCGAGAGCAGGTCCGCTATCCCTTAGGGTTTCTTGAGCGTCCAAGGCAGCCGAGCAGGCAGTCGGTTTGTTTTCGTCCGTAATTTCCTCGTTTCGGCGAGCTTTGAACGTAGTGAATCCGTACCCAGTGCTTCAAGATGTTTGATTCTCCAGAGAGCTCTCCTGAGCATGAACATAGATTGATTCGAGGAGTCTGGCAGCCCCTCACAGTCGATCCGAAGGATAATATCAACCCATTTCAGGTTAGACTTGAACTCGGACTTGAACTCCAACTCTTCGGTGTTCTTCGTTTCGTCACAACTTCAGCTGCTCTTTTGTACTGCTTTGCGTTTGTTCTTGTCTTTGACTTCTTCCTGTCTCCTCCTTCGCCGCTCATCACCGAGCCTTCGCGCGTACATCTGGATTATGTAGTTTCGTCTTCTGATGTTGCGCTCGTCAATCTGTTGGTCTATCTTTGGGTCCAGCGAAGATCGGTTAGATTGAACATCCACTTCATTATGTTGAGATTCGCTCGAAATCAATTGATGGGCCTGACGCCTACTACAAGAATTGCGGGGAAGTGGCGAAAATTACTAGGACCTAAAGCAGTTTTCCGTGTTTAGAATCTCTTCGCGGTTGCACACAAGACGAGGCGAATTACAGTTACTAATTGTTTCTCCCTTCTTCTACGACGCGCGAGCATTGGCTCGTGAGTCAATTGGTGACTAAATGTGATAGGATTGTCGATCATTCCGACGTTGTATAGCTTAATGCGCATATATCTCGGGGAAGGCTTCTCGTGTCCAGTTTTCAGTCCTCTGATCTTTGTTGTTTTTTGTTTTTGTTTTTTACAGCCAGCTCCGAAGAAGAGGCTTGTGCAGTGTTTTATAGTGAAGGATCCAGTTTCTCAGGCTTTTTGCCTTTTCTTACAACTGAGCCCTCAATTATGTAAGATCCAGAACTCTGTATATGTCCAAAACTTTCCATTCTACTCTTTGAAACTAGAAGCAGAAAGTTAGAACCCGTTTTCTCGCCGATACATTTCTTTTCTCTGCGACGTTGCTGATTCACGTTCGTGTTTGTACCCGTCATGATGACAGCATTGACAAATAAGGGGAAATTTCTTCTCGCTTCTCGAGAAATCAGCCACGTGTCCCGCACAGAGTTTTCAATCTGGAACGATCTCGATGAGCTTTCGGAGGATAGCGAATTCCTCATCGGAAAATTGATGTGATTCTCCCCTCGCCTGAGCTATCGTTTCCTGCCGTTTCTCTAGCTGACTGACCAAAGCAGAGACAACAGAAAGGACATAATGTGATGCTTTCGATCGCACGCTGACTGATTGGTATCGCATATCAATAACAAACTTGAATGGTCGCTATGGCAGGTCGAACCTGAGCCGCACAGAGTACTTACTGTATGATTACAGGCAGTGTGGGACCCCGGAGAGCTACTCGAGCTGCTGGCGTCCACAGCATGGAGTGAGGCCAGGCAGCGTACGCGTGGCAGAGGTGCACTACAACATGACCTTGGGCAAGCCGCAGCAATTCCATAGTTTCATCCATACTATACGATTGTGCACAGACAATGAAGGTCGCGCGGGTCCCGTCAGGAGTCCGGACGTGAGGCTTCACTCGCACAGAATTGCCGGAGATTCCGAATCCAGCTCTGACGACTCGGGAAAGTCGAGATCTACGCACTCGTCATCGGAAGGGGCGAAAGCAGCGCAGGAACGAGAGTCCTCGGACGCCGCTTTGGACAAGTCGGCGAGCTGGACAGGGCAAAATCAACCCAGGCTTGAAGATTCCGTGCCGCATAGCAAGTCCGATTCGTCTCTCCATCATCTGCTCCACAGCTTCGGCTCGAAACACGGCGTCAAGAAGGATCTGAAGGTGGACACGACGCATTCCGATGTCGCTGATGCACCGCTGACTCTCAAGACGAAAGCTTACCTGTGGGACGAGAGCTTGAAGCGATATTACGCCAGGTTTGACAAGCGCGCCGATGTGCAAGGTTCCTCTAAGAATTTCCAATTGGTGATCGGCGATGAATCCGAGACACACAAGGATGAAACCATGCTCCAGTTTGGAGAAGTGAGTCCAGAGATCTACTTCATGGATTATGCCCACCCTTTGACGGCATTCGAAGCCTTCGGTATTTGCTTGACCAGATTGGACTAGTCGCCTCCAATTTGCCCAAGATGTCTGTACATTGTGTATACTAGATGATCGAATCCAGGTATCATTTTCAAGCGATATCTTGTACCCAGTTTCAAAGCTCTCGTTTCCTTTTACACATGGGCTGAAATCGGATCGGATTAGCAACTACTTTACGTTACACGGCTGTAGATATCATCTATGGGAAGAGAATTGAATTGTAGAACCTTATTGGTACGAAGATATGTAAATTGTCTCCCATTACAGAAAATAATTTTAATGCAGGATGCAGTTCTAGTTTTGCACATATCATAGACGAGGAAATGTCCGTTATACGCATGTGGACCTTTTGCCACTTCGTGCTGTAGAAATCGAACTTTGTGCTCTGATCTCTCTCTTTCCTTTCCCACCCTGTCTGCCTCGCCCTGAACAGAAATGATTTCACCATGCGCAAGTGACGGAATCAGCCGGTTATAGAATTATATTTGACAAGTGTACACAATTCAAGAATCTGTGATGACTCGATACCTCTTTGTCTATTGGGTGAGGGCATTCGGTGACGAAGCAAGCTCGTTCAGGAAGTCATTTTACAACCTAGCGACAGGTTAAATAAATGTGAATTTATTTGAGTATTTTTTAATTATCAATCATACACGAGACGACCGGAGGACTTAGTAATAAGTCCTGTGTTATAATGTCCATCACCATTGTTGGAATTGGTGATTTGTGATGAGTCATTAAGAATGCTTGTAATTGTAGTGTAGTCTACAAACGTCATCTAGGTAAGCTGCTTCCTCTCCTTTGGACACTTGTACATTTGTCAAGTTTATGTAATTATTAGCACTCTAAAAAGTGTCTTTAGGATCTAACTTATTCTAACACACTCCTTTACTCTAGAGTGCATCTATAAACTACTTTAACCCTATCATCTACTTTAGTCAAAAGAGTTTCTTCATGTTATGATGTCCGACTTCCTAGACCAACATAATTCATGTGCTGACTAAACTTCAACATATCAGTTGGTTGTAATTTTGTGGATAGGATTGGAACTTAGATCTACTTTAAAGCTCCTGATGAAATGATGTTGGATACCAATGTGTTTATTTATTGCATGAAAAATTAGATTTTTGGCAAATTTTATAACGTTCTTGTTGTCACATTGAACTATTGTGGAATCAGTCAATGGATTACAGGTGGGAAAAACATAAGTGAGCTTAATTTCTTTGCATGAGAGAAACGTTTATGTCATTGTGTTAGTAAGTGGTTGATTTCATGCAATAGTTGTTGTAACCGAACAGCGGTTTGATTTCATAAGAATAGTTGTTGTAGCCAAAGAGCTTACTTTGCATTAAAGTACAAAGCTTCATATTCACTCTCAGTAGAGAAGAGTGAGATGAGATTTTGTTTTTTAGAACATCAGTATATTGCACTTCCAATGAGTGTAAAAAACGTAAGCATCAATAGATTTAAATGTGTCATGGCATGAATTCCTCGTGACATTTGTGTATCCATACAATTGTAGTGGATATATTTGTTTGAACAATATTCCGTGGTCTAAAGTATCCTGGAGATACTGCAAGGATAAATCGTGATAGTTAATCCACAACAAAACAAATATATTTATTTGTTTTGTTGATATTTGTTTTGACTTATTAGAAGTATTATTTGCCTTATTTGACTTTGACTTTTAATCTAGAGTAAGTAGCAAACAATAATTGTGCAATAAGTAATCTGTAAAATGTTGGTTTTACATAGAGAGTGCTGGTATCTTTTGTCAAGTATTGTTCACCATTGATTGATAATGTAAATAATCTGCAATCAAACATATTAAACTCTTTTAAAATATTTGGTGATATAGAGCTTCCGATGGAGTAATAATCCTTGTGATGACAGAGAAAAATCAATTCTTTAATACTTTTGAATTTCACCTAGATCATTCATTTCATATTGATGCATTAAATCAGATTTAATCTCAGATATTTATATTGATTGTTTCATGTTACCCGCCTGTTTGTCTTAAGTATAAGTCGATACATTCATATCAAGCCATTGGGCTTGTCTTAAACCATAAAGCGCTGTATTATGTTTACGCACAGAATCTCAAAAACTTTTCTAGTAAAGCCAGGTGGTTAATCTACATAGACATTTGTTGAAATAAGATCATTTAGGAAAGCTTTGACATCTAGGTGATAAATTGGACATGCACATGCATCTTCAATATCGGACACAAATCTTATAGTAGATCACTTCACGACAAAAGCGAAGCTATCAGTGTAGTAGTTACCTTTTTTTGTGGTTGGAATCACCTTGCTACAAGACAAGACTTAAGACGTGGTGCAGAATCAATTTGGGCTTTTTTAATTCAAAATACCCACTTGCATGTTATTGTTTTTGCCCCTCGGCATCATTTAATCAAGATCAAGGTACAATTTTTGTGTATGGAATTCAACTCATTACCAATGACGCATTTTATTCATAAATCTTTATTGCTTTGTTGAAGCTCAGCTATTCTCCCATGTAGTCGATAAGCTCAGCTTCAAAATAGTGGATTGTATTTCCAAAAATCTTGGCACTGTTACTCACATAGTTCTTCCAGTAAACTGGAGGACGGTTCAAGCGGGGTGTGAAAGGTCAACTGATTGGCATATCCTCCATGATACGATTCGAACTAGTTGTTGTCTTTTTGTCAGAACTTTCAACAATAGGAGTTGAGTTTTGGAACCGTTCATTCTCGATGGTGGATCCATGTAATGAAGATGGGAGAGGTGAGCGAGAAGAAATAAAGAGAGCAATTGATATTGTTTTTAAATCTAAGATAGTGGATTCAAGAATGGATAAAGGTTTCAGGTGAGTAGCTGTGAAGTTAGCAAATGAATGAGCTGTAGTGTTAGTAGGTAGAGCGTTCTCGAAGGTAGTATTGACAGAGCAGATCATTGTTTGAGATTTCTTTTTTTGTGTAGAAGTAGAATATCAAGATTATCAACAAGCTGAGGATACTATCAGGTTGCGAGTACAAAAAAAGATTAGTAAAATTTAACGTTTTTACTGATATACAGTTTTTCATTAACAACCTCATACATACCATAGGCTTTTGACTTAATATCATAACCTATAAAAGTAACTGGTGGAAATTTAGCAGAAAGTTTGTCGAACTTAGTTATAAGTAGAACAGAAGCTGCACATTCAAAGATTCTGAGGTGCTTAACATTCCGGATGAGATCCGTCATCCGCTGAAAGGGCGTTGACATCTGCAGTGACTTTGTTGATAGCCGATTTAGGGTATAAATTGATGTACTTGAAATCTCCTTCTAGAGAGCTTTAGCTAATTGAGCATAAAGGAGTATTCTTCTGGCCATCTCAAGCACTATTCTTTTTTTTTGCTCAGAAACTCCAGTTTGATGTGGAGTGTACGCACATGTTAAAGCATGATGAATACCTGACTTTACGCAAAAAGCATGATAAGTCTTGGAGAGATGATCTCTGTCTTTGTCGATTTGCACTATTACGATCTTGTGATTATAGTTATTCTTCATCATAACTTTGAAATCATGAAATTCTTGTAGTGACTCGTCTTTGATCTTCAAAAATTAAATCCTGATGTACTTGTTAAAATCGTAAGTAAACATCAATATGTATTGTTTTTTGGTAAAGGATTCAGAAGGGAGATTGCCGCATAAATTAGAGTGCAATAACTGTAATTGACAATTTGTTTGAGTACGAGAATGTTTTGGAATACGATCTCAACTTTGCTTTGCTTTCAGACAGGTAGCACATAAATTTCTAATGTGATGATTTTGAGGAATTCTGCCAATCATATTTTGAAAGGCCATCAAATGAAATTTTTGAAAATTTTGCATGATACATCTTGCAATGCCAAAGCTTTGCCAGAGAGACTGAACAAGTTTGAAGATCCAACTGAAGCTAGTCTTTATTTCAAACTTCAGTGGAACAAAGATGTTGTGTTGGGAAAGACAATGCAGTGATGGCTAGTAAGAGACCTCCAAGCTTAGATAGCTTGTATAAACTGTTATGTGAATCTTGTTCTCCCAGCAGTAGTATGCTACGTGGATTTACTCTATCAAATACAAAATAATTGTTGGGTAAAAAAAGCTATATGGCGTAAATCAGTAAAACGACCAACAGACAGCAAATTTTCCTTCACATCAGGCACAAAAAAATCAGACATCTTTTTCTAATTTAAGATAAGTGTGTATTTTCCACAAAATCGAAAGAACTTGATTGCTTGCAGTTCTAAGTGAGATATGGTAAGACAAATCATCAATATTACAAAGAAAAAAATTGTTTACAGTTAAGTGTGAGGAGACCTCATTATCAAAAAACCATAAATGCTTTTCTTCCATTTGATTCAAAAATGCAGAAAGTACATTTGTCGCATCATTAACTACTACATTGTCTACAATAGGATCAGCGTCATTAACAAAGAACACAACATTAGCTTTCTCATGCAACCTTTTGATAGTCATCATGAGCGTTGAGACAACATTTCATGTTGTTTGCTTTGAACTGCGTGGAGTTTTTTTAAGTGTTGTAGGAGATCTAAAACTCTTTGAGCTTCTTCTAAAGATGGTGCTGACAAAATTCATACGTCCAGTGTCATGTTTTACCGCATTCATTGCAATTGTCGCCTTTCAAGCTGGAAGGAATAGATGGTGAGGAACTGTTCCTGATCCTGTCATAAGAACTTTCCTGAGAACGCCAAGGGTGATTACAAGAGTTTGTGTATTTCCAAGGAGAATAATTTTGAAAATAACCATGAGAGTCATGCCGGCTGTTAAAATTATTTTGATCTCAATTGCTTAAATTTCTACTGTCAGATCCATGATTATCACAATCATTGTTGGATTGTTGAAATGAAACAAATATTTGTATGAAACTGCGCCTTGTCTTGATCTTTACATTCGCAATCGCAGTGAGAGTCATCTCGATGATACTTGAGATAAGATCTACGTTGGATGATGGCAATAAAATACTTGACAAATACGCCGGTTTGGTTAGATTTGACTTGACGGGTCATTTTTTCATCGATGAGAAGAGTAAAAACTTGTGAAATTGTATAATAATTATCAACAATACTAGTTTTAATGGAAGAAGCAAATCTTGACCAATTCATGAACAAACTCATCAGACGGAGAGGTATAAGTTCTGAATCCTTAACTCTATCATTGTAGTTTGACAGTTGATTAGTGAGGCTTTTCATAGACTTAACCTCCCTCATTGAAAGATTGGATAGTTTTCTACGCAAGAGCTGACGTCAATCCTCATCAACCGAAAGCTCTTTCCACATCAAGTGAGGTACAGACATGGCAAAAATATGATGAACAATGTGCTCAAGCACATTTATCATAATGTAGTAAACAATGTCATCACATTGTTTGAGAATGATGTCAATTTTTTCTTTAACTTCTTCGTTAGCAACCTCTCGTTCTTGCTTAGTCGTAATTGCAATTTTACGTGCGTGATTAGCCAATCCTGTAGGAATCTCAAGTGCAGGTAGTAGCTTTGGTAAAGCAATGCTTTGTTTGACTGCCGCATTAACATTTATTTTTGCACAAGATGGCTCGCATTCGCGCAGCCTAAGTAGTGTAGTTTTTGATGTCGTTGAGATTCTGTGTTGAATCAATGTCCTTTGCTTCCCTTGAGAAATCCATGATTCCGAACAGAAGAGAGGAATACATACAGGACTACATACATAGAGGAAACATAGTGAGGTCACCAAGTTAAGGCATTTGTAATCTAAACTGAAGTATTAAAGAAAACAGTAACATTTTGATACCATGTTGGAATAGCTGATTTGTGATAAGTCAAATTGTTTCAATCATTAAGCATGCTTGTACATATAGTGTAGTGTAGTCTATAACATTAGTGTAATGGATAATTGATAAGCTGCGCCCACTCTTTTGAACAGAGATATAGTTGTTAAGTCTTTTGTAATATTAGCACTTTAAGAGTATCTTACGGATCTTACTTATTCTAACAACCATCTTCTGCAAATTTCACAATATATTGTCATTGCGGTTTAGCGGCTCACCTCTTGTTCAGTTGAAGCCGACTCTACAAGAATCTTAATTGACCATTCATTACAGAAGGGTACGTTAGATTATATCGCTGCGATTCTTTCCGTTACTTCTTTAAGTCAACATGGACTCCAATCTCGACAATTTTGGTTTCTTAAAACTGTTACAATAATCTTATTTGAATTAAAGTAAGCTCAGGTTACATGCAGACATTGAGAGTAAAAAGTAAAATATCATATAAGTTCAAAAAGTAAATATGTTAGCTTCGTTGTCAGAATTGCATTCCAATTCTTAGATTGTCAGAAACAAAAATATGATACAGTTTGAAATTTTGAATGCAGTAATAATATTTTTGATAATTTCGAAATTGAGGTTTTAAAAGAATTTAAAGCTCTCTTGAATTTTTTTTGAGAAGTAAAAATACCGACATAACAAAAAAAAGTATCTAGTTATCAAGTTATAAAAATAATTTGAAATATGAAAAAATATGGTAAATTTTTTATGTCTTAATTTTGATAAAAAAATGTTATTTTTATAGTTATTCATTTTGAAATTTCCATCGTTCATATCAAGCATAAATGTTTTAAGTTCAGTCTTCTCTCTTACTTGAGTGTGATGACTTGCACTATACTAACAATAAGCAATATATATATATAGCATACTTTGGTTAAAAATTTCTCAAATATTGAGAGACTATTGAATTCCATATTTGATGCTATTTTATACAATTTCAACATTGTAGTAAGTTATGTTGTTGTTGATTAAAGATTTTTTTTTAAAAGGATTGAATTCATGTTCATATTTGAAAGATAAATATCTAAGATAAATACTTCCAATTAAAAACGAGCAATTAATTTCACCATAAAAAATGATTGTGTGAAAGCAATAAAAATAAACATATATAATTTCATTTGATATTTTTGTAACAAATATAAATTTAACATATAAATTTTTTTTATGCTAATAAGATTAATTTCTAAATAGTCGTTATACAAAATTTACCGTAAATTAAATTTTTCAATGTATGCGTCATGATGATTACTTTGAAAAGTATTTTGAAACTTTAGGCAACATTGCAGTTGTTGCATATCAATACAAAGGGTAAATTTAAAATATGAACTTTTTATCAATCACTATTTAACTATTGCTCAGATCTAACTCAAATTTGATTTAATTCTCAAAGTAATCTATTTCTTGTTTATTTTAATAATTTTTTGCTTTTTCATCTACAAAATTTTGCTCCAACAACATCAAACAGATTCATTAAAAAGCAGTGTCTTGATATTTAGTTTTTTTTCAGTTCTATATTCATCAAATTGCTTTTTTTGTTTGCGAATTATTGAAAATAATTCATAGAAAAATTATCTTGATTTTAAAATTTTCCATTTTTAATAAATTTTTTCACAAACTGATTTTTTTTTTAATAATCTCACTTTTCAATCATCAACAAAATATTTCCAAGCATTCATATCATAAATCATATTTGAAATGCAAAAGTTTCTAAACAAAAGATTTATAGATTTCATATTTTTTGTATAATTCCTTATTTTAAAAGTAATTAATTTTTATGAAATTTTCATTGAAATTATTCAATATCTAAAAATATAGCTTCTAAGTTAAATTGAAATCTTGCAAATTTTAATTAAAAAATAGAATTAAGTTAATAATTTTTATTGTAAATTGATTTTATAAAGTAAAAAATCTATCAAAATAAAGTGATAAGCAACCAGAATTTTGATAAAATTGGGAAAAATATTACAATGCTTTAAAATTCATAAATAAGTGTTGTTAGATATTTTATCACTTTTTATTTTTCAATAATAATTTTTATTCTTTTAAATCTCATTATATGGCAAAGATTGTCAATTTGAATTCAAAAATAATCAAAGTTTGAATTGTAGACTTAAAAAGTCATAAAATAAATTGACAAGAAACCTTACAATGCTTTCACTATCATCGAAAATGTCTAGTTAGACATATTATCAGTTCAATGTATTTTGTACTATCATTGTACAATCAGCTTATAATTTTTTTATCAGTTATTAAATCATCAATTTTTATCACTTGAAAACACTATTTCATCAAAAATCAGATTTAGTACATATCATTCATTGAATCATCAGTTTTTTTTTCAATTTTATATGAGTATTTAATCATCTTTCATGACCATCATATATCAATGATTTATTGTCACTTTATATCATTCATCATGCTTTCACTTATGATCATTTTATACCAGTTCTTAATCATCAATTTGAATCATTTTGTATTTGTACATTATCATCACCCTGTATCACTTGTTACGGCTTCAAAATTATTATTTTGCATCATAACTTTATTATAGTTTTTTATGATTTTTTATTGGTACATATTAGCCATTATCATCTTTTTTATCAACCATATAATCATTATCTTTTTTACGTTGTATCATTTTGTATTCATCATTTTGCATTGTTTTATGAACCATAATATCAACCTTTTTATCACTTTTTTAAAATAATTCATCACCATTTAGAATCATTTAAAAAATTTAATGTATGATTCAAATTTTCTTCATTATTCATCAACATCTTATTGTGATAAGATGTTGATAAGATTAAAATCATTTCATATCAGTAATTATATGATAACCTTGACAACTTGCATAAAATTTTTATTATCTTTTAAATTATTTTGTGGTGTTAAATTAATAATTTTTAAAATACTTTGAATCTGCTTTGAATATTGTATCATTCAATATTTTATCACTTTAAATCATTATTTTAATATCAATTTGAATCATCGTAAAATATTAGTGTTCATGTGAAAGTAGACTACAGTCAAACCACATGTGTTATTATTGCTTTTCTTGTATGAAGTTTCTTATGTGAATTTTCTCATGTGTTTCATCACATTTTCTGACAAGCACAATAAAACACGTTGATTTGTCTGCAATTCTATCCTTCATGTGTCTCAACTAGTATACATTATTACACAACACCGCAAAATATTCATTTTGAATTCCTGACATGACTTCAGAGGAAAAATGTTAAAAGTCAATCCCTTATTACTTATACTATGATCAATTAGATTAAAATGGAACCACTAGAAGAAAAATTGCAAAGTTTTTTTCAACATAAATTACAATGTTGAATAAAAAGATTTGTGTCTGACATGAACATAGTTTTTATGAAATGAATACACATTATTGTATGTGCTCACTTTGTTTGATAATTTTATTTGAGTGAAAATACTTTTTAGACTAATATCTGTTACGGTCAAATATAAAATTGATCTATACAAATTTATTTTTTTCGTTTATTTATTTTTAATTCGTTAAAAGATCATGTGTTTAAATAAGAATTAAAAAATAATTTATCTGTCACGACATGCCATCATTCCATGCTAATCCCGAAGGCAGCGGCTACTACGTTTCTCAAAGATAACGCGGTTGAGCAGCGGCCACTGCTGAACTGAAGACACTGACAAACCCAGTAAACCACTATCGGAATAATTGTCATTGGAGGCAATCGGAGGGTTGGTGACACTTGTCAACATCGGAACGATTGACTCGGAAACCCTACGATCCTCTACAGCGGGCCGCGGCTTTGAGGAAGGGTCGGGCGTAAAAGTCGCCAGGTTTTGGATGCGCAGTTCGGCCTTCTTTCATGCTTGTTTCATGTCAAGATTGTATTCGTAAGATCGAAAACTTCGGTACATCACTGCAAACAAAATTTCATCGCGTAAACTAGTGCTGCAGTGCGAGCTTATTTCGACAAAGGGTTTTTGTTCGAAGCAAAGTTGTAAGTAGACGACGTTGCCTCTCAATCTACAAGAATCCAAATGTAATAAGTGCATGGTTTATGGATTCTAAATGGATTTGTCTACTATTGTAAATTACTTAATATCCTATCCATGCCTACATCGTAGCACTCTAGAATCAGCACAGTTGACTAATCTTGTGTTGCGAGATGGTGGCGATTGGAAATTTATAGGTGGTTTCAAGAAATAGACCACATGACTTATTTCCACTACTTTTATTCGTAAAGAAAATGCGCTTTATGAGAGAAAAGAATGCAATATATTATTTCGCTCGACCTAGTCACGAAACCTACGAAAATACTCTCGAATTATGGCGATTTTATTTTTTCTCTTTCATTTCTAGCGCTCTCTTTGAATGCATAGTGAGTACTCTTAATGGTTATGTCTGCAATTATAAGGAGTGAAAAATCTACCCATGGCTAAGAGGTAGCGCTGTACATTTAGAAGATTTGCCTAGTCTTCTGTTGTAAGATGGTGGCGATCGGAAAATTTCGAATATTTTCTAGAAATAGACCACATGATTTATTTCCATCAGTTTTATTGTTCAAAAAAAATGTGGTCCATGAGAGAGAAAATGCACATTATAATTTCGCTCAACCTAGTCACGAATCCTCCGGAAATACTCTCGAATCATGGCGATCTTTTTTATTATTCGCTTCTAGGGCTATCTTTCCTCTTCACGAGGATAAATGTAAATGATATTATTTGTTCCTACAGCCTATCTCAGGTACAAATGCCGAAGACTCAGGGAACTCGGGCCAGTGCTCCGGAAGAGCCTAAGGAAAAAAAGGGAAAAAGTGTCAGTGAAAATGAAGTTGCCGACGCTAAGCAGCCTGGAACCCGGGAAATAAGGGTTATGTCAGCTAGAGCATACCGGGCGAAGTTGAAGGGTATTTGTTCAGCAACAGCGAACGGTTCCAGGATGGACATCTGTAATGAAGGTTACATCCACATGAAGTTTCAATTACTAATTGTCGACCGGCTTAAAATTTTCGCAACGATTCTATATTTTGTCGTATCGTAATCGAAAAAATTCCTAAATTGATTCTTGTCTTTTCCCCAGGAAGAAAATCTTCAGGTGGAGCTGAAGATGATTAGATGCTGACGTGTCTAAGGATAGTGCTGCAGGTAAAAGGTCAAAATCTCATCATTTGAACACCATTTCCATGTGTTCTCCTCATGTGCTGTTCATACATAATGAAATACCGCTGATGATTGTTATGTGCTTGTTGCAGGAACCTGTATGTGTGAACAGTACTCAGACTTTGTGGTGGACATTTACATAGACAGGGATACTGCTGCAGACGGCACGATAACTCTAGAACGGCATTTGAAATTTGCAAAGATCGTATTGCTCTAAAACAGTACTTTCAAAGCCGACTTCAACTCTAATCTCAGACTTAAAGATTGGTTGATGATATCTGGATGCCTTTAGTCGTGATTATCTGGATGACTTGTGTGGGAATTGTGACTTTCTGAGACGCATTCAATCACCAGACCTCAATGACAAGTCTAAATATCAATCTGCACTGAATGAATCACAGTACTTTGTTGTGCATACTCCTTAGGTACATTGAGAACATCGGGAACCTGATTAAATCTAGCTTCACAATGTATATACTGAAAGGTGCTACGAATGATCCCGTGAGTGTAAATCAAGTCCACGTCTTCAAATGAGACTAATGTCAATATGAGTAGCCTGAATACAAGTAGAACTTGCGAGTAATTCCGAAATTTGGCTGCAGCCTGTAAGCAAGGGTGAATTTCAAGAACAAAATGTCGTACTAGAAGTTGTGATTTTATTTCTTAAAATGACAAATTGTTTTTTGAATTCATTTTTAAGATGATACCTTTCAGGCTAAACAACCTTGGGTTGAAGTAAGAGCGAGAGACTAGTGTGTCCAACAAAACAGTCTGGTGATCCTGCAGCAGTCTGCAAGCATGAATTGGACACAGTTTTTCATGTGTTCGGAACCATAACGCATCGGATATCTGCTGTGCCTGCCATCAAGTATTTGCTGCCTTGAATTGTCCGACAGGATTTCAAGCTTAGACTCCCATGCTTTGACAACTGTGACAAAAGATTCTGTTGCCAAATTTCAGATAGCGTTAAAAAATTTGTCTACAAAACTAAAAGCTTCTGTTCTATTGATAAACCCATTCTTTCTTAAAAACATCTTGTATTTCCGCGACAGAACAGCAGAATGTCTATGTATGAATGGATATATTCTCTGAGAAAAATCCCAAAAGTCCAAATACATCTGCCAAATTCAGAGTAGGCCAGGATTCAGTAGGCAGCAAAGGCGAGGCATGACTGCTTATGTCTGTCAACAGTAAAGAAGCAGATTTTCTCTGAACCGCGTTTCAGAGTTTGCCACAAAGAATTGGAACATACTCCGCTCGGAATTTCGAGTACCCAAGACATCTGGGATGCAAAGCAGATCGGTGAAACCTTTTGAAATCTCTTATTATTGCTTCAATACTAGTCCTCACCGCCCCTACAATTGCCCGTTAGACGTCACAGTTTTGATTAAATTTTTGTCATCACCCTACAGTCTCCATCCCGCCCTTCTAATAGTCATTACCGCACCAAATATCCGACTCCTTGTTTGTGTCCCGATGTTCTCCACTTCATCATGGTTGCAGCTTGAGTACTTGCAATTTCCTCATCATCAAAGTATTCTTGGTGATGTTTGGTAGGATACATGACGGAGCATAAAGTAGATGGATGTTTTAGGATGATAAAAAATTTTAAATTGATTTTTATCTGATATTGTGCCAAATAATTTTTTGTTGACAATTACCAAAGCATGGGAGACTTAACTTTGAATAATATTTAATAAATCAAGGCACCAAACACTTGATGGCAGGCACAGCATATATCTGCTTCCGACCGCAAGAAGACTCTTTCTAGTTCATGCTTCCAGACTGCTGCAGGATCACCAGAATGCTTTGTTGGAATGACATACTAGTCTCGCTCTTTCTTCAACTCTAGGTTGCTTAGAATATTAACCTCGCCATGATTCAATAGTATGAGGGAGCATCTTGCTTGCAAGAATCCACTTTCAGGCAGAGGGATTTGTGTTAACAACTCAGCAGCATTCCTAAGATAGAGAAACGAAAAGCTCATGCAAGTCATTACGATTGCACGGTACGCTTCTAAACATGCCGTATTGCGGTTTGCAAACATACACAATTTGCACAGGCCAAATTGAGCTCATTGAAAAATGCTTTGTGACAACTACTTACAATCCCAACACAAATTTAAGAAGTTCTAAGTGCAGGCAAGTATTCCGTGCATTCAATGGCAGGCGATTATGCAGCCGACAAGAAAACTAGTCGCCTTAAAGAGTCTACTCAATCATAAATCAGGTATTTTTTGATAATGTCAGGCCAGGTATGTAACGATCGCTTGGAAAGTCTCGCTGCAAATTTGAACGACCCGTGCGGTAAAGATGCAGTAACTTTCGTCTCAATTTTGGCAATGATGCCAGTATAGGGGATCAAATGAGAGCTCGGGAATTCATCTTCGTACGCTGGGAACTTGTCTGTTGATTTGTTGATTTTTGTCTGTCTCTTACAAATGTACGATCTCTCTGGCACCATGATCAGCAGGTCCCTAGAAATCCGTAGATCAGAACGATTTAGATAGATCCTTCAGCTGATCAAAACCTTTGATGGGCTTCTTACAGACGGATTTTTTCTCTATATCCATATACTGTGTTGTGGCTAGAGCTTCATCTTCAAGTGATTTTGGTTCTGTGTTGCGCTGCAATTTCTCGTCGATATGGATATCGTAGGCCTGTAAGCCAGACAGTGAAAAAGATCTGAATGTGTTGACGTTTTCAGACTGAGCAGGTTCCAAGCAAAACCTTGCAAATCCAAAATTTTGGCTGTAGTAGAATCATATGACAAGGAATCTGATCATATAATATCTGGATTTACTTTGGAAAAGCTTATGGAGTAAGTTTAAGACTGGTTGATTAGCTTACCACCTGCTACATTCAGAAAGTTCATGAAACCAATGTCTTTTGGTTGCAGTTTAGTCGATGTACGCCATTGATAGTACCAAACGAAAAGCACCAAGCAATTTGTGCTAGGAGATGAACAGACACGGAGAAGTAACTAGAAGTCGTTGCTTCCTCGATCCTGGAAAGTTTAGAGTTTTCGGATTGGACTGTACAAATCTAATTTTGACCGGCCGAGGATCCGCAAGCTTGACAATGCGAGGCAGATTGTTAAAAGAGACTTCCATCTACAAACGAGTACGAAAGACTCATGGTCATCGAGGCTTGGATTTTCCCAGTAATCCATGGTTGAGTGAACACTGATCCATCGGGTGAAGAGGCCCCAGCAGCTCGTGATCCTCGACACCAGTGTGCAGCTTCACCGAATGTTTTCTCCTTATTACTTAAGCTCGAGAGAATCAACTATACTGTCTACTTTGCATGTTTGAGGTCATCCATTGTCCGACGTCTATTCTCTCTCTCTTTGCGTTCCTGGCAAATGAATGAGATCTCTTGTCGAATTTTGCCAAGTACATGAGTACCACCATTAATAAAAAAAGGTTTCTCTTAACTTCAGCTCTTTTATTTTCTGAAACTAGCCTCTTGCTTTGCTGTTGCCATTTGAAACTGTCACACCTTGTCAAATGAATGGGGCAGACTCCTCTTTCATTACAGTCCGGAGCATCTCGCCTTGGGGTTACGCTTTGGTCACGGATGGGCACAGAGCTTGAATAGATTCTCCAGTGAAGGGTGCATCAAGTGTGATGCCTCTTGCCCATTGCATCCACCAGATCCTTTCTCCAGGTGGTGGCGTCTATATTACCCTTTTGGATAGGGAGTCGAAGCCTGTCGATTCAGATCCAGGTTCTTCAATCGGCATCTCGGTGAGGGACTGAAAGTTTTCTGCAAGCGCCTGCTATGGTGAGTCTTATCCTCCGGAAAGATACTTATCGCTCCCATCAGTCTTAATATCACCCTCCAGTAGAGGGAACGGAGTTCATCCTACCCAATTATGATATTGAAATTATCTCTTCCGATTAGGAGGGATAAGCATGTACATGTGCATACATTCAGTTTTATTAAGAAGTTTGGTGACGTGCGTTCCTTGTTCGAGCTTGAAGAACACATCGAGAGGAAAACCCATGTATTGTTTTATGCCAATATCTACGATTTTAGTGACATGTTGTATGAACTTAGACTTGATGTCTTCATCTTCTGTTAAGTTAATACAAAATATAGATTTCTCAAGATGGAGATAAAGTGCTTTACATTGAATTATCTATAGATGCCTCTGTCAACAATTATCTATAGTTGCCATATCAACTTTGATTCAATTTCAAGCTATTATTTTCCAATAATTTTCCCAAGGCTGTTGCTACTTGATCCTCAAACTACATCTTCTGAAAAAGCCTCACAGAGAAAAAGGATAATTAGGGTTGATAGTAATAGTAGGAGTTTGTGTAAGAGCATCAAAATTTCTCTGATCTCTGATCTGATTAACCCTCACTTCCAACCCATGTATTGCAGCTGACTTCAACATTTAATTCGTAATGTGGCCAGAACTTACGCTTTCCGCGAGGAGAGATTGTATAGACTAGACCCTCTAAGCAGATTTCATGAAGATAACTATGAGATTCAGTGATTATAGCGAGGTCGAACAGAATGTTGTTGATACGTTCAAGGAACGAGCACCGGGTAAGAATTTGCACAAACTCGAGCAAATAGGTTGTCAAATGCTAATGTGGGCTTTGGTCGAAGGTTGCATCAGAACCAACTCATAGAAAGTACTCGAAGATGTGAGATCTTAGAAAGGTTCGTGTGCAGTCGATCAGTTTCAGACAAAGCCGCCTCGTTGATCACAAGGTCCGAATGCTGTGAAGTCACCGCATTTGAGATCGACCACATCCATGGGATCCTACCTTTAACACAATAGACTGTTCAATCACCTTTCAGATTCACCACATCCTTGTGCCCACGACCAGTTTCTCACGTCGAAGCGCAAGCAAAATTAACAAATTAACAGAACTCAATGTCTTGTCGTCCATAAGTCCTTGGTGCCTTGACTTTGAAACCCAGAGCCCAGAAATGATGAAATGTTCAGTTTTTTCTATATCCAACTAGAATACGCAAAATTCTGTTCCGCATACATATTTCCTTAAGATGGTGTGATCTTGGATAGAGAAAAAAATTTGGACCCTTGAAGACATCTCAAAATGCATACCTTTCCTTATATGAATGCTGTATGTTGGCAAAAACATTTAGGTGTTTGTATGATCATTTGATTTCATCTACCCATCATTGTAAATTAAATGTTTCTTCCATCATGTTTTAGGAGTTACTCTCTGTTTATTTTTTTATCAATATTTAGATCGAATTTTTTCGAAATATATTTGAAAAAACTAGATGAAGGTTTGATTTTTAAAGATCAGTATTTTTTTCTCAAACTTATTCAATGTTTAATTATCAGATTTTCAGGTAGTGTGGAAATCTTACCAACAATGTCTTGAGGATTATCTAAAATTTTAACATTTTGATCACAAAAGAAGTATTTCATTATCAAATTGATCTTAAACATTGAAATTCATTTATTCTAGGAATAATATTGAATTTCAAACATAAAAAAACCCGACATTGAATTGAGCGAACCAATGTTTGAAGATCCTATTCAAACAAACAGTAATAGAAAATGTCTTTACAGTCTCACATAAACTGCAGCCTTTCTTTGTCTTAAAGAGATTGACACGTATTTTAAGCGCCTAGCCAAATCATATCCATATGAGCACAAACAAAAACCTGCTTGTCAATCACAAATGTTACTAAATAGTTTGTGATCAGATATTTTTTCAATTCAGACGCAAAAGATTCAATCTCAAGGGGTTAAAAAGTTGACTGAACTAGGGGTACTCCTACTGGAGTTGAAGCTTTGTCTTTTATATATAACGGGATATATAATATGATGACGGAAAAAAAACCGACCTCATCTTACAAACGCAACGCACCAATCGAATATTTCCTTGACAATTGACTGCTTTTTTTTTTTTTCAATCACCATCTTTTCGCGAAAATACAACACGGTTACAAACATGTTTCCAATAAAGCCATACCAATTTATTTTGGTCTTGTTTATTCTTTACAGACCCGTAGATATATTTCAACTGAAGTGCCCCATATTTGTCATTGTTGATTGAATCATTCTTTTTAATTTTCTGTAAGACTTTTAAGGGATATTTAAATTCTTAAGTTATGAGAAATATAGAATCTGGCGAAGGCAGGGTCAGATCCAGTAGGCTGGCCGAGAGGACACCTACTCTGTAGTGACAGTGGAACAGGTCTCCGTGAAGAGAGGAGCGACTTTGTCGACGAAAACTCGAACGAAGAGCGCCTCGCCCTCCGACAGAAAGAGTTCCTTGTTCTCCATCTGGGTCTCTGACTGACCGACCGACTGATCCGCGGAAGGACGAGCCAGCGAGCATTCATTCGTTCGCACACTCGCAACACTCTGCTCTGCTCTGCTCTCTCTTCTCTGGTGCTGCGGTGGTCGTTTAGGGTTCTCGTGGGAAATCGGTCAATCCCATGGCTGCCCGACGGGCCCTCGCCATTCTGCCCTCGTCGTTGCGGGGCCTTTCGTCGGTGGCATTCCATCCCGCCGAGCTGCAGGGTGTGTACAACTTCGGGGCCGATTCCAAGGCCAATGTCATCCGAGCCGGCGAGATCGGCGAGGTGTCTGGCGTTCCTGATGAGCATTTGCATCGCAAGGTGAGAATCGTGTCGGGATTCCGTGATTATGCAGATCCTCGATTTGATTCCACTGAATTCCTCGGGAGTGGGGTCATTCCGAGATACTTCGTAGGCCTGTAATGATCTTTTAAGTGTGTGAGGCCTTGGGTTGGTTTGTTTTTCGTCGGTTCAGTGAAGTGGAAGCTTGAGGTCGTTTTGCTTTCACCCGAAATTGTGATCTCCTGAAAACCCTGAATCTGTGAATTGTGCGGTGATATACGCGAAATCGGTAATTCGTCAGCAGTTTAGATCCGGTAGTTACAATTTACTTGTTTGGTCGCTTGTTCTTTCAACAGTTTAGCGAGATCCGGAGCTGGTTTGTTTTTGGAATTCGCCGATCCTTTTTTGGCGACATTATGAGCTCATTAAATGTGCACGAATTGTATTGCCTGCTGATGTTTGCCCAGTTGACCCAATCGGATGAACCTGCGTTTTTTATTCTCATCGGTCTCACCTTTCTTAAATTCTGACATGTCATAGGTCCTTATCTACTCACCTGCTCGAGTAGCATCACAGCAAGGTGTTGGTAAAACCGGTGTATGGAAGATCAGCTTCGAGTCAACACAAAAGTAAGTAAGAGTCCGTTTTAGAATCCCTTGATTTCTTCGATCAAGAACTTATGGTCTTCAACATCTGTCGGTTCCCCAAAACTACCTGCTCGGTCCTTATATTCTGAATTCTCAAATTATAAGGACCGTTCGTGCTCAACTTTTCTTCAGGATCAGTCATTTCTAGGATTTGTGAACCTGGAACTCATTTGGAGTTTGTTGCATTATTTATCTGTGAGCAGAGACGACCCTAAGGTGCTAACTTTGTACTTACAGATGGGAAAATCCTTTGATGGGATGGACTTCAACTGGTGATCCTTATCATGCTGTGGGCGAAGCAGCTTTGTACTTCGACACCAAAGAAGCTGCCATGGAGTTTGCCAGCAAATATGGCTGGGAGTACACGGTAGGCTTTTTTTTGTTAGAATCTCTTGGTTTTGGACTCAGTTGTTAAGTCTATGAGGAAAGAGCTCCATATATCTGCAGACGTTTTTGTAGAGCAAAAGGACTTACCCGGATCAAAAGGCCACCTCCAAAATCGTAGAATTGGAACTTATCGAAGTTTGTTGTCGATAATGTGCAATAGTTGTGTCTCTTGAACTCGTGACACGCTTACAGTCCTCGATAGGTAGAATTGATCGTACCTCGGGTGCAAGTTGACGTTTTTCACAACTCTTCCAACTGCACCATGGTCCTTGTCATGTTGGTCGTCTGAAAGGTATGTGATGCATGGAACCTGAATGATATCGAGTGTACTCCGACTCACATTTTTGTTCGATTGGTTGCATTACCAGATTCGGGAGCCAAAGCAAGTCATTCAAAGGGTATGTCTCTGTTCTGTAGTTGTCTATCTCCACTCCTTTCAGAAAATTGAAAGTATGATTGACTGGATCACAAGAAAATATAAGACTTTGACACATTGATAGGATAGGTGATCATCATTTTTTTTTAACTTTATATCGAGTGCTCATTATTTACTCGTGGGGTTTCGAATTCCTAAACCCATCTCATCCCTCCCATAGCTTTCAGGATCCCTGGCTTTTTCTTGCCCAAATACGAGACTTGTTGTTGATAAATTTTGTGTATCATATGCAGACCAAAGCCTATGCAGACAACTTCAAGTGGAGGGGACCAGCAGAGGAAGAAGGATGACAAGGCAAGCAGTCTCTTGCAATGCAGTCATATGAACTGTTGACTCTTCCCTCTCCATTTACTTGTGTCTATCATACCATTCTTTATGGGGGTCTTAGCTACTATGGTAATATGACCACGGTTGGTATATGCTGAACCTCAAAACTGGAATGAGTCTCCACATGCCATGTGAGGTTTTGGTAAAGGCTGTGTGAGCCCATTCAGCGGTTTCACTTTTTTTTTCCAAAAACTAGCAGGATCGCAGAGGCACTGCGCAGACCCTTCATACATTTTGAAACAGTCCCAATGTACAGTATACAAGTTACAAATGGTAAGGAGAAGGTTTTGCAACTGAGAAGAAGTCGATGAGCTGGTTGCCTTATTTCTTGTAGTAGTGGAGACCCGGTTTGATTCCAACGCCGTCGTCGTTTCCGTTATGTTGCGTACATGTACTATCTAAGTTGAGTCAGTGTGAGTTACGATTTTAAAGTCATTAACAGCAGTTTTCATAACTGTTAGAGAGCCCAACTCGTTCACTCGTGGGTACTTCATACATGACTCCCCGGTCATCTCTTGCTACATTCGGAAGTGATCTTAGATAAGTCATATTCACTTCTTTCAATGTTTTTGTTGTTAATGCAGATTCGAGATAGAAACGTGAGCCTTTAGAGCCTTGTTCGGATGTTCAACAGAAATAATAATGTGGCTGAGCTGAAGTTGTGCATGGTATTTGATTAGGTGTGTCAGAGTGCAATGGATTATCATGGTGTGGGAAATGAAATCTGCTATTGTTCACGACTTTCTACATTCATATCTGGAGATTCTTTTATCTAGCCGGAATTGTTATCGAATTCTCAACCTCTCAACAGTCGTCGACCTATGCCGAATATGGCCTCAGCAGCGCATGTACATGTATTTCGAAAGCGATTTTGGATCGGGTCCTTGTCGAAGACATATTCACCAACTGGTATTACACGAAGTACTATTTTTAAACATCATGTTGGCTGGACGTTTTGTGTCTGTCATGTTTGTTTGGTGAGTGTGCAAGATTTGCGAGTCACAGACAGAGCATTCTTGAAGGAAGAAAGCAACAGAGGATTAATTTGATTAGAAGAAATTCCCTAGCAATATCTTAAGGATGAATATTTACTTCAACAAAATTTTTGAATCCAAGTTGTGGCTAAATTCTTTTTAGACTCAGTGTCCTCTTCAGCACTCGTCGAGGTATGAAGAGACCTATTTTTTTGGTTAACTCTGGGTTCCTGAACGCCCATCTCGATTCAGGACTGGAACCTTCTTAATCTTCCGGTTCTATGTACTTCGGCCAATCTGGAAGGGGCGTCACCGATCACCCACATCACACATGTATTAATGCAGAGGACGGCCCAAAGATCTACTATGGTGGTATTGAAAGGGGATTAATCTCTAAGTTCAGGTCATAAGAAAAACACCCAGCAGTTTTTTTAAAAAAAAAATTGTGTAATTATATCGAAAACTCTTAAACGAGTCTACTTCAATATCTTTAAGTTTGGATCCCAAAAGCTGTCCTGTCTTCCACTTTACTCCCTGTACGGAATCCATCCATCAAGAATCTTATTTTCCTTCTGCGTTCAACTCATAATAATTTGCAACGAAGTAATGTATAACATGCAGTAAATATACACAGGAAGACTAACTTCAACTTCACTCCTCTCTTCTTGAATCTGATCTCACGTGTCAGGCTGAGTAGCAGCGGCTTCAGGTGGGTCTGGTGTCTGCTGCTGCTGTTCTATGCCGACTCATGGCAACCAGCAGATTTTAGGCGTGGCAATTGAGTTGCACATAGATAGCGACGGATCAGGGAACCTAGAACTTCAGACCTATTTCTCCAGCTGGAAGGGGCCGGACAAAACCCTCCTCGTGCCCATTTTCATCGACCGTGAGATGCGAACCTCTGCTTGGGTCGACTTTCACCCGTTGCTCTCGGCTCCGGCGGAGGGAGAAGCCTCGACGACTCACAGCTACTGGTCTCGTCGACGGCAAAATCGGAAGACGAAGCAGAAGACTCGGAACACGAGCTCGGCTTGCGGACTTGCTTGTACTGGTGCCATCTTGAGACCGCAAGGTAGAACCCGAAATTGACGGCCGCAATGATGCACAGAAGCCAGTAGTATTTGTCGAGCCGGCTGGTGTTGATGTTGGCCTGCAGCCAGCCCTCGCTGACCGCGGTGCGCGTGGCGCCGTTAACCAGGGAGACGATGGCGCTGCTGGAGAAGTAGCCCCCGGAGATGGTGCAGTACATGAGCGCCGTGCCCAGCGACTGCATGCTGTCGGGCGCCTCGTTGTAGAAGAAGTCCAGCTGGCCCGGGTACACGAACACCTCGGCAAAGGCCAGCGTGGCGAACTGCGGCACGAACCACCACATCGAGAACGGAAGAACTGCGTCCGGGTCGTCTTCCACGTGGAGGTCGCGCACCACCTCGAGGCGCTTCGCCTCCGCCAGCGCGGCCAGCGCCATGGCGATGACGGGGAGCCCCATCCCGACCCCTATTCTCTGCAGGACCGTGATGCCCTCGGCCATGCCCGTCAGCTTGCGCGCGAACGGGATGAAGAAACGCTCGTACAGAGGAAGGACTATGAGAATGGTTACGTTGAAGGTCAACGGCGCCACGCTCCCCGGCGGCACCTCGAAGCTTCCTCCCAAGTGCCTGTTGGAGGTGCCGATCTGCGCCACCGCGAAGGTGGTGCCCTGCGCCAGCACCGTCCAGTAGAATATTGTGAAGAGCCAAATTGGCAGCAGTCGCAGCAGCATCTTCGCATCCTCCACGTCCGATATCGGCGCTCTTTGCCACGGCCCCAGCTTGTCTGCCGACGGCCCGTCGAATTTCGCCGCCTTGTCCAGCCATCTGTACCATCCATCGCTTCCATTCATATCAATATCTGACCGTCCCGCAATTTCGTCCACTTCGCTCAGTCCTTGGCGCAGCCCAGCAGCGCCAAGGTCAGCCATGGTGTCCCAAGTTTATCACAGCTGTCCTGCAGCTCGGGTGCTACTGCTGCCACTACTGAGAGACACTGGCTCAAGGTAGAGAGCTTGAAGGAAAATAACCATGGGGTGGTTTCACCCATTCAAGTCCGTGAAAACATATAATTTCAACTAATCAAGTATCTTTTTAAGCAAGGAATCATTACAACATACAGGACTTATCAATGTGAGAAATGAAAGCCAAAGAATACACTGTCTCTAGAATAAAATATTGGGATTTCAATAATCAACGTAAAGTTACACGGAAATTGTAGCTTTCACGCGAAGTAAAAGGGAAGGAGGAATTTACGAAGTCTCCAATCATTATGTTCCATGAATCTTGGAATCCAAGGAGATCCTTCTAAAGCTAGAGCATGGCACTCGTCACTCACTGCCTTGAGAATTGTGCTTCAACCTTTGCAGATGCTCTCAGAGTCCATTGCATTCAGGCTAGGAAACTAATAATCTCTCGCCGGATAGTTTGAGTTACTATATGTGAAAGTTTGAGTTTGTAAATCAATGGGCAGATTAAACTCAGGACGAAGTTGATTGATTGAGACCCTTTTAAGTTTTAAAACTTTCACACAATCTAGATCAGAAGATCCTTCGAGTCCAGGAAAACAAAAAGCTCTGGATAATGACAATCAGTAGTTAGAATTTGCAATGAAGCTGATTAATTTAGCTGACTAAACTGATTTAAGATCTGGTATATTCCACACTTCACACGTTCAATCCCTTCCAGGACTGGTGACAGAAATGGTCTGCAGAAAGTACTTTGAACACTTAGATTGTAGTTAGCATGTAAACAGGCTACGCTTAGAAATCATACCTGAACGAAAACAAGCAGCTGGATCGAGTTCAGTTTAAACAGTGGTGAAGAGGGTAAAGTGCAGAAAGCAGGTGATTAAGCTAGAGGTAGGCGAGGGCTGCAAGAGATTTACCGCATGCTGTTGGTGTGCAAGGGAACTCTTTCTTCTCCTTTGCTCTGCATTTCGTCGTAGTACATGGACACTTCGGTACCCGTGAGCGGTGGCAGGTCGTAGTTCCGAATGGCTGCCACGATCACTCGGGCTACCGTCAGAAGAGGACTGCCTTTTGGGACCCTGTACCTGTAAGAGTTCCTTCTGAAAATGAGCTGACACAGAGCCACGGCCATGATCACCAGAGGGATTCCGAACCCCCAGTCCCAACCCACACGGTCCTGAATGTAGATGAGACAGGTCGATGCAAAGAAGCCGCCCAGAGTGGTGGCCCAGTAAAACCAATTGAAATAGCTGGGAATGAGATCCGCCTCCGCAGGGTCTCCAGCTTCGAATTGATCTGCTCCGAATGGTGACACTGTGGCCTTCACTCCCCCGATTCCCAATGCTATCATGTAAAGTCCGACGTACAGGGCTGCCAAAGCGCCTCCATGCACTGGCCTGCAGCTCAGCGGGTCTGGGCACTCTTCATCTTGATTATTCAGAGACGGCAGCACCACTGTGAACACCATCATCAACAGCCCCTGCACATTGAGTTCATGGCGTGATCACTTAGTCGAGTCCAGCAGCCCATTCCTTCGAGCTGCTGCTAGAAAGAATGGGTGAGAGAAACTGGGAGCTCGGTGACCAACTCAGCGAGAAAAAAATCTTCCACCAAATTGCACCTCGCAATTGTACAGAAAACCTTTTGAAGTCCCAGACAGAGCAGATATTTGGTGGCACATTGCCGAGACTAGGAATTTAGGGTTATGTTGCTTCTTCCATTCGCTCAGCACAGAATTGTGATGAGGAGGTTTACAGGTGTTAAAGGATGCATGGAGCTGGAATTTGTTGGGTACAAGGACCGACTGATGCTGATTGATGTTAATAATGAGACTACTTACGAGCATCTGTGTGAGAGCTGCACCGATCAAGCTGTAATAGCGTCCAAAGTAAGCGTCTGCCAACACTCCTCCGAGCAGTGAGAATACGAAGGATGTCCCCATGAAGTTGGTGACCACGTTTGCAGCATATGGTATTGGGAGTTTTTTTACATTGATTAGGTAGGATACCAAGTTGAATTGAGCTCCAGATGTAGAAACCTTCTCCGTAACCTCGACCGCTGCAACACCCACAGACATGGAAACTAGTGGTCATCGAGTTTCTTCACACCAAGCTCCACTTCCTTTTATACAATCAACCGGTGATCACTCATCTTCACACGAGCGCTCAAAATCTCCGAGGACACATGAAATTCTACGGACTGCTTCTCAACAATTTCCATTTTATGGATAAAAAAACAGGTCTCGGAACTTCAGTCTCCTGCCGTCCAAGAACAAATCACTAAGAGTGTCTGCAGACATTAATGATAAGACGGGGAGAAAGTAGGATACATGAACTGCTACAACCTACGAAGTTATTGGAGACTGATTGTGATCGTACCGCAAATGTAAGGTGCAATGCTCCACCCCCCAGTGCGAGACTTGTTTGCTGGCCGGCCTTCGTAGTCCACGGTCCCATCGTGTGTAAAAAATTGTGGATGGTCTCCAACCTGTGCATCTGCTTCAGGGTCATTGTTCCTGGTCTGCCCGCATTGCCATGGAAACAGACAGAAACAATCGACATCAAGGGAAAAACTGGCCAGATGCACAAGCAGAAGCTCACCTTCAAAGTTCCACCCGAAGAGCTAGAGGACAGAAGGATGATAGAAATTGGTGGAAGAAAAAGTCTGCGAAGGTTGCAGAGATTTTTAAACCTCGAATGCAAAAACGAAATTCCCAGGAATACAGCTGGTTAACATTTGGCTCCAGGAAGGTCATCTACCAGCTGGTCTGCCGGCAGCAAAGTCTCATGGATGGTCATTGCGCCCAACTGCGCTGAGGTAGAAGAATTCACATAATACTACTCCGACACCTTAGAACTCAAAACCTGCATGAATCTAATCAATCAAGCTCTTTGCATCAGTCTCCCGCACATTGCCACAGACTGGGCTGCGGCTGGCTGCAGGAGTCGCTCGACGAAGCCCTCAATTCCGACGAGCACCTTTGAGGAGCTCAGCTTTGTTGCAGTCGGGGCAAGTGCAGACCCGACTTCACAATGTCCCCGATGAAAAAGGGGGTTCATAATGAAGGTCGGAAATACTATTTCCAGGTCCGGGTCATCACACTGTTCAGACATGACAAATCAACACTTCACCCGGAAAGCTTTGATGTTTTTTCTTGAAGCAAGTCCTCATTTGACTTCACGAACCCGCTGGATATTAGCACGTGCAGCCATGGCACACCTGCATTCGGAAACGACGCTGTGATCATCACTGGGAAGCATGTCGGAACCAAATTAGCGAGTTCCTCCGACTTTTATCATGTTGTTAAACCGACGGCTGGCTGGCCACTTTCTACCACTCCTTATAGGACTCTGATCTCGCTGGTTCCCCTCATTTACATGATCAGAGTACCTGCATTTACTCCGAAGCGCCGCTGGGGCTGTTCCCTGCCTCGCATTCTCAAGTAGCCTAATGGCTAAACTCGGCCCGGGCTCCGGGACTTCGTGACATCTCCTGCCCCTGATTCCAGGTGCAACAGTGATGACCAATCTATTGTCTTCTGATGAAAAGCACGCCGTTGTTTACTTTCTGGTCAGTTTCAAAAAGTTTGTTTTTCTTGTCCTCGTCCAGTTTGCCTTTTTTAGACCCCCTCTCTTCCCATGCTTTTTATCTGATTCCTCCCACGGTTGCCAAGCATTCAGAATCTAGAATAGAGGTATTTTCGAGAAGAGGAAAAAGTATAAAGACCCTGAGCTACTGACCGACGAATTATCGTTCTCACCCAGTCAGAGGCTTCGGGTCTGGACAATTTCCAGACGCGGTTGAGTCGCGGGTCTAATAGTAATATGTTAGAACAGTTTCGAAACATCTGTTACGCTCGATTTAGCGTGGCACTTTGTCAATCTGACGCGACAAGTTGGGAAACAGAAATTAACTGTACAGGCAAATAGTACTTCGAGGTGGACTCAGTCACGAATCACGAACTCACGACCTTTTCTCTCTCTCTCTCTCTCTCTCTCTCCACACCAACGGGCCAGGACTTCAACAATGATAACTCGTGACACTTCCGCACTACCGTATCTATCGCTCCGCAAGGTGAACTCTGACTACATTGTCCTTAATCTAGAGGAATGGGGACAATGACACCACAACTATCTGGGCTACGAAGAACAGAAGCCACTTCCTTTCCCCACATCACGTTCTTCCAACTTAGTACTAGACGGGCCAATGTGTCAGGGCTGTAGGCCGAGACAATAGAGGTTAAATAATTCTTGTGAAATATATTATAGTTCTCAACACACAAAAAATATGAAAGTTTGTGAAGGGCCAGTCGCCTCCGATAATCTCGAGACTTTCCAAAGTAGTAAAATCACGAGTGTTTGTCAGTTTGCTTCTGTCATGCCCAGAGTGTGGGTCCTGAAATCCTTTCAACTCATTCATTGTTTTGTTTGTCCATCTCGGAGGATGTGAGTTTAATTTCCTGATTCCTCGTTTCTTCGAATAAACCGTTTTGTATTACAGTGTTCCAAGTCTCCGCTCTATTCCTCAATTGCCTGTTAAGAATCCCAGAGGAAGCAAACCATTGTTTTTATGTGTATCGAATACCCACATATAGGATACCTCCAATTGCTACCTGGGTGCTTTGTTTTGAGCTCAGAATACAGAGGTCAACCTTTGCTTCACAGCGGCCAAGAGGAAGCCCCAACCGATTGGAATCTCGAGGTTTACACATAAATTATGATTAATGTTTTGTACACGTGCTCCTAAAGTCGTCATTGGCATGTGATATGTGCGTAGCGTAAACTGCTTCGCGCAAACATACATTAATCATTAGTAAAAGTTTCAACTAAGTTTCACTCTTTTATCATGCTTGTTTGCAAGTTTCCTTTGGATTTGTTTCGCACTAAAGGACAAGTAAGCAAACACGAATTGAATGGTGATTGGAGTACCTCATTCACCATCACCAAGTTGTTGAGGTTGGGTAGAAAATGGGGAAGCTTGAAATTCTGCCAAGTTTAGAAGATTTATAGAAGGATTATCAAAGTTGATTGTTAATGTATTTGAACATCAATCGGGTGACATGCCATACAGCAAAATCAAGGTACTCAGAACAAAATAAGGTATATCAGACTTATTTTGTTCTAAGTTTATTCAACTTATTTCTATATAGTTATCGACAGTTAAATAATATAGCTAGCAAAATCCTTGTGTGATACAATTAGATATCTTTATAAATTTACCACATGTACATATGAATAAAGCTCCATTAAAATGAATTAAGTGTTTGTTTTGTTGTGAATTCTGGATTCAGAGCTTTGATCTCCATCATTTGTTTCCTTGCTTTCTAAAGTTCACATTCAACTTTATGACATATGAAGTTAATGATTTAGGAGGTAATATCATCTCGTAATGAAGTTCTCTATGAACAGAGCACAATTCAACAGTTATAACCAGAGCAGAATTCAAGAAATGGTTTTCTTACAGTACGCTGGAGAGTAGTTTTTGAAGTTGATTGGTTAGACCATGAACCCTATGTAGATAACATAAAATAATATCATTTATTTTGGCTCATAAAACCTTTACTAGATCAATTATTATCTGATTGAGTGTGAGTTTTATCAAATGATCAATAAAGATGTTCTCACCGTGAATAAAAGACAAATATTTCTCAATAATGTCCAAAAGATGCAAACTATTATGAATCTAGATTCATGGATATACATATAGGAAAGTTTTTTACTATTTGTTATTTTAGCTTTGTCTTTCTTCACAACATGCTTTTACAAAGAGTATTGTAATTTTTTAACTCATTATCATAGGGAAATATGGATTATGTACAACAGTTATTGTTTAAAAACAACAATAAAACTTATTGTATAAATCATTTTAAGAAAGTTATGTAACATTAGAGAGAAGAAAAAATATCACTTGAATAAAAACACTGAAAATTTGAAAATAAAAAATACTAAGAATTAGTTTGCTTCTAATTGTTGATATACTTTTAATAGAAAAATAGATAAACTTTTACTCTCATCATTCATCTCATTCTTCTTATATTAAAGACAGAAAATAAACATCCCAACAAGCACATGGATTATTAAGTAACTAAGTATCATTATTAAAAGTATAAATATTTTTCATTGACAATCATTACTTACATTGCTTATATATTTTTATCCTTGAAACGTTGGACATACAATCAATGTTTTCAACAAATTTAATTGGATTTATATTTAGTTTTTAAGTTACTCCGTATTATATGTTGAAGTTAACTCTAGTTAAGTAGTAACCTCATGTGTAGCTATTTATAGCTGAGATTATTCGCCTATGTTGGATATATATATACCCCGATGCTTTTGCACTTCATGGATTGTTGTGCTTTCACCCGAGCAATAAAATCTCTCGCGTGTCTTCCTCCGTGGACGTAGCCCTTGAGGGTGAACCACGTTATTTGCTGGTGTCTCTCGTGTTGATGATTTGGTTGTTGGCTTGATTGCGTCATTGATTCTCTTGGTTTTACATTATCAATTGGTATCGGAGCTGACCGTTTTTTGATGCGACAGAAGTTTGAGACAAGTGCTAACAGTTTTTCTGAAGGTGACACAAACTATAGGTGAACAAATCGTCAATCATTCAGAGGTGTTTTTCAGTGCATTCTAGAAATTCTTCTCTTTCGAAAGTGGTACGATTGAACTACACATCACAATCTCAGATAATATAAAGCCAAACTTTGTAAAAATTGGTTTTTTTCAGTGTTTTGATTCTATGTTCATCCCTTACAGTTTGTGGCAATTTTTTTGAGTTGAAGTTTATTGTGTATTGGTTTTTGCTACTTGGCTATGGCGGATGCACAAGTGGGCATGCTGCAGGTGTTGATGTGCTGACATACGTCACGTTTTGATGGAATCGGGGTCTTAGCTGTCAACGATTTGTGTGACCATGTTTGATTTTAATGAGTTGTCAAAGGGGGATAGATTTATTCACACCGCCAAGCCCAAGTTTGAGGCTCGTACGGCCACTGTAGAGGAATTTTTTTGGGACTGATCGTTTGGCTGCTTGTGTTCAAAATCTCATGCTACAGTATGAATCCGATCAAAAGGATCAGCATAAATTGTGATAGTTGATGCCAATCGTGACTTTGAAGGGATCAAAGCAGAACCTTCACAAATCCTTCTCTCTTCAGGAGTACTTAGTGATCTACCTGTAAAGTTTCTATCCAATCTATCCATTAGTTGAGGATTATCTAGCACAAAAGAATCTTCACGAGTTCTAGCATGTTCACCACCTTATTGTTCACCTTTAGAGTTGTGTATTGACTTATGAGTCGGATCAATACTAGAAGTATCAATTGCGATAGTTAATGCTGAACGGGAACTTGAGGGATTCAATGAAAAATCTTTTGTTTACTTTAAGCTTCATGAAAAATAGATGATTCCTTAGACTATGGTCAGTGTCCTTCATTGCAAGCGGAGCAATTTTTCACCACCCCCTCCAGTAGATTGACACCCGTCGCATACATGTGATTCGCTCGCGAACGGCGAGCAACTCCCTAACCTCCCACCGCGTAGGTCGCGGCCGGACAAACGTGCTCGGAGTGGATGCGGTCGAGGTCAAAATGAACATGATCACAATTGCAATTGCAGTCGTGGTCGGACCGAACGTGGTCGTAGTTGTAGTTGTAGACGTGGTCTAAGATCAAATATAGTCTTAGGTCGAACGTGATCAGAGAACAAACATGATTGGCCGCGCCAACCATGGTCGGCATGACAATGCAGTCAACAGAAGAATGACGGTGATGGCCAAGACCAACGATAACGGTTAGAAACGACGGTGACAAGATATTTTGTAATAAATATTTTGAAAGTAATATTTTTTTAATTGGAGTATAGGCATATTGGGCATCGTTGGATAGCTCTCAACGCGAATAATGCATATGGACATTTTTCAAGAGCTGAACAATGGCTCAAAATGAGGAAATTGACTCGAAGTTGTCTCTCCTTTTTGACTTGTAGAGTTGGCAAGGTGAAAAGTCGGTGGCAATTTTGGATATAACATAATACCTTTTGATGAACTATGTGAATATTTGCTTTGAAAAAAGTAGTTAAAAGTGAAGTTACGATCCATGGATCTCACTATATACCTGAGAGAAAAACTTCATAACATAAATGACATTGAATGGAGTGTTTTTCAGGACTACGCAGTTTGCACGGTATTGGCACACATGGAGCCTTCCATACTTAAGCAAGTTGAGGATTATTTGGAGTATCACAGTTGTTTGATGCGCTTCAGCAACGGTTTTATCAAAAGAACCTGTCGAACCATGAACACGTACATGTCATTGCTATGATTCAAGGTGAAGCCCGGCACAAGAATCCAATATCATATTCATGTCTTC